GGCTGGGCGAAGGCGGTGCTTCGCAAGACCCGCCGGCCCGCGCCCCGCGTGCTGATGCTGGCCATGGTTGGCCACCTGCTGTCGCGCAGCCTGATCAACCAGGCGGTGGCCGTGCTGCTGTCGTTCCGCGCGTACCTGCGGCCCCGCGAGTGCGACTTCGCTGACCTCGCTCCAGCCAGTGCCCCCCGCGGCCGTGACAGGCCCTCAGGCGATGCATTGGGGCCTCCTCCTGTGCGCGGTGGAACTCGAGAAGCCCGCCGCGGTCGGCGCTTGGGACGAGAGCATCGCGCTGGGCGATCTGGCCTTCCTGCGCCCCTGTCTACTAAAGCTGGAGGAGAGGCGCCGCTCGCCCGACCAGCGCATCTGAAGCTTCGCGGGTGGCGACCTCACAGGCAGGGCCCAGGGGGCGGCGGAGGCGGTCGGCGCGGCCGCCACGGGCATCACCGCTCGCGGCCTCAGGCGCCGCGGGGCCTCGCACGACCTGCTGGCCGAGCGCCGCAGCCCGCCGGGGGTCAAGGCGAGGGGCAGATGGCCGAGCGACGCCATGCTGAAGCGCTACGGCAAAGAGGCCCGCGCGCTGGCGGAGCTCCACAAGGTGCCGCAGGTCGCCCTGGACTTCGGCAGCGCGATGCAGGCCAGCCTCGCCAGCGCCGCGTTGGGCGGCGCGGCGCTGCCGCCGGCGCCCTTCCTGGCGCAAAGGCGCTGACGGGTTCAGAAGGGAGCCGCCGTCGCCGCGTTCTGCGGCGGTCTTCAGGTTCAGCAGCGAATCGCCACGGCCAAGTGCCCCCGGTGCTTTTCGCTGGCGAGGCGGGGATTTCAAGGGCCATGGGCGCCCAGGGGCTCGCTTCGATTTCTGTTGACAATTTGAAACAGCCCTGGTTTGACCTGAACTGACAGGTCGTTCGGAATACGATTCTGGGGTGGATTTCTAGCTACGTCATTTCAGCTGCATGGACGGGGGCCCCTTGCTGCACCTGGCCCCGGGCCCGCCGCGGGCCCCGCGGTTTGGGCTGGCGCTGTCTGCGTAGTGCCGAACATGTCTGGGGCCTCCCCACTCTGGGCCCGAGGGCCTCCGAGGCCTGCAAACGCGGCAACGATCAGTTGCGTTTTTGTTGTCGGGCGGTTTGAGGCTGCCTTCGCGCGGGCACCCCCGCGGCCCTCGAGAACCCCGGGGCCGGCTTTTTGCAGGGGGGGCCCCCGTTCGAACGCCTGGCCCGTCGCTCGACCAGTCAGGCCTGCACCGTGGACTACTGCGGCTTCGAGGCATGCTGGCGTAAAAGGACCGGCGCGCGAATCTGAGCTCCAAACTGTTCCGTTCAGCTTTCCGCTCTCTGACGTGGTCGAGGGGGTGTTGTAGTCATTCTTTGAAGCTTCACATCTTCCTGAATGGAGTGGGTCAGAGCCCGGCGCTGATGAGCCTTATCCCCCTCGTTGCTGTTCTTGCTTTGCCCGGGCCCTGAAACGAAGTATCGATGCGAACCGCGCGCGCCGTTTCCGACAGACCTTTTCAGTGTAATGGTGCGGCAAATATCAGAAGCCCGTTCGGGGTGTCTAGGGTCTAGGGGTCTTCTCTCTCCCTCTCTCTCTATCTCTCCTCTTCGTTCGTGTGTGCTGTGTTGTGTTGTGGTGTGTGCCTCCTCCCTCTTCCTCTTTTTCGTTCTCTCGTTCCGCCGAGCGCAGCCCAGGTGCCGTTCGTTGGACCTGCTTGGCCCGAGACACAAAAGAGTCTCCTGACCAGGATAAGTGGCACGATGGGGGGTTTTGAATTATCATCGCAGAACGTTTGAGGGCCGAGCGGCTGCGAGCTTGCGAATCTGCAACCGCCACGGCTCAAGCCTTTTCTATGCCCGCCCGTTCCGCTTTTGATTCTTCTTATGATAATTATGTTTCCTTTTTTGTGTTTTCTCTCTCTCTCTCTCTCTCTCTCTCCTTATCATTCGTTTGTGCTGTGTTGTGTTGTGGTGTGTGCCTTCTCCCTCTTCGTCTCTTTTTCCCAACCAACCTGTGTTGTTGGGTCCCCGTTTTGAAGAGACGGTCCCCGCGTTCCTCCTCCTCCTCCTCCTCCTCGTCCTCCTCCTCCTCCCCCTCCTCCCTGCTCCCCCCTTCCCTGCGCTTCACCCACCCAGTACAGCGCTTCGTGGCCCCATAGGGAACTCCACCGAAGGCCCCAGTGCCACCGTCCACATGCGTCCTCCCCACTCAGTACAGCGTTTCGTGGCCCCACAGGGAGCTCCACCGAAGGCCCCAGTGCCACCGTCCACATGTGCCCCCCCATTCAGTACAACGCTTCGTGGCCCCATTGGGAGCTCCACCGAAGGCCCCAGTGCCACCGTCCACATGCGTCCCCCCCACTCAGTACAGCGTTTCGTGACCCTATAGGGAGCTCCACCGGAGGCCCCAGTGCCACCGTCCACATGCGTCCCCCCACTCAGTACAGCGTTTCGTGGCCCCATAGGGAGGAGCTCCACCGACGGCCCCAGTGCCACCGTCCACGTGCGTCCCCCGCCTCAGTACAGCGCTTCGTGGCCCCATAGGGGCTCCATCGAAGGCCCCAGTGCCACCGTCCACATGCGCCCCCCCACTCAGTACAGCGTTTCGTGGCCCCATAGGGAGCTCCACCGAAGGCCCCAGTGCCACCGTCCACATGCGTCCCCCCCACTCAGTACAGCGCTTCGTGGCCCCATAGGGAGCTCCACCGAAGGCCCCAGTGCCACCGTCCACATGCGTCCCCCCAGTACAGCGCTTCGTGGCCCCATAGGGAGCTCCACCGAAGGCCCCAGTGCCACCGTCCACATGCGTCCCCCCCACTCAGTACAGCGTTTCGTGGCCCCATAGGGAGCTCCACCGAAGGCCCCAGTGCCACCGTCCACATGCGTCCCCCCCACTCAGTACAGCGCTTCGTGGCCCCATAGGGAGCTCCACCGAAGGCCCCAGTGCCACCGTCCACATGCGCCCCCCCCACTCAGTACAGCATAGGGAGCTCCATGCCACTGTCCACATGCGTCCCCCCCACTCAGTACAGCGTTTCGTGGCCCCACAGGGAGCTCCACCGAAGGCCCCAGTGCCACCGTTCACACGCGCCCCCCCCAGTCAGTACAGCGCTTCGTGGCCCCATAGGGAGCCCCGCCGAAGGTCACAGTGCTACCGTCCACATGCGTCCCCCCACTCAGTACAGCGCTTCGTGGCCACATAGGGAGCTCCACCGAAGCCCCTAGTGGGACCGTCCGACCGCGTCCTGAAACACCCAATTTGGCATTTTCACCCACCCATCACAGCGTTTCGTGGCCCCACAGGGAGCTCCACCGAAGGCCCCAGTGCCACCGTCCGCATGCGTCCCGGAAGCCCAATTTGGCATTTTCACCCACCCAGTGCATCGTTTCGTGGGCCCACAGGGAGCTCCACCGAAGGCCCCAGAGGGACCGTCCGCCAGCGTCCCGGAACACCCATCGTGGCATTTTCACCCACCCAGTCCAAGAGTTCGTTGCCCCGTAGGGAACTTCACCGAAGGCCCCAGTGCCACCGTCCGCATGCGTCCCGAAAACCCAGCGTGGCCTTTTTACCCGCGCAATACAGCGTTTCAAGGCCCCTTAGTGAGCTCCACCAAAGCCCCCAGTGGGACCGTCTGCATGCGTCCCGGAAGCTCAATTTGGCATTTTCACCCACCCAGTACAGCGCTTCGTGGCCCCACAGGGAGCTCCACCGAAGCCTCCAGTGGGACCGTCCGCATGCGTCCCGGAAGCCCCATTTGGAATTTTCACCAACCCAGCACAGCGCTTCGTGGCCCCATAGGGAGCTCCACCGAAGGCCCCAGTGGGACCGTCCGCATGCGTCCCGGAAACCTTACTTGACACACCACTCACCCAGAACAGTGTTCCCCCCGCCCCAGTGCAGCGCTTCGTGGCCCCATAGGGAGTTTCACCGACGAAGATTTTCACAATTGCGGTACCCACAACTGCATATGGTTGGGTCTTTTGCCAGCATAATTTCTTTCGTTCCGCCGAGCGCAGCCCAGGTGCCTCCCCGTTCGTCGGACCTGCCTGTCCCGAGACACACAAAAGAGTCTCCTGGCCAGGGTAAGTGGCACGATGATGACGATGATGATGGTGATGCTGCTGATGATGATGATCATGATGGTGATGATGATGCTGGTGGTGGTGATGGTGATGATGGTGGTGGTGACGGTGATGGTGATGACCCCCGCGGCTGAAAGGGGTCAGGAGCTCCTCGCTCGTACTGCCCTTCGGACCGAGGCGTTTCCCTTTGGCCCTGCGGCGGCAACGCTCGGCTTCGTGCGCTTCAGCGCACCCTCGCAGATTCACCTTGGTGCCAAAAGGCCGCCCACCGCCCCAGCCGAAGCAAGCGGTAGTCACGGCATCCGAGCAGTCACGGCGACTGCTCGGATGCCGTGACTACAGCAGCACACGCGCGCCAAAGCAGAACAACAGACTTCTTGGCACCAGGCCACACACAGGACAACCTTGCTCTGCGATGGCGTTCGGAGGCGACCCAGACAGTCGGTAGCAAACCACGTACCCCCTCGGTTCGGCCTCCGTCCTGGCGCGAGAACAGTGCACAAGACAGGCGGGCTGGTACGCAGCAAAGTTGCAGAACGCAAGCGCAGTGCACGGCCCGAGCAACAGCTAGCAGTGCACATTGGCTGAGCAACGCAGTCCATTGGCACCTGGCCGCACATACATTGTAGCTCTGCTGATGCTTGCGGAGCTCGATCCAGAACGTCGGTGCTATCACCTACGCCCTCGGTTCGCTCTCCGCTTGGCGTGCCAAAAGGCACGGGCAGAGCAGTGCAGCAAGCCCAGGAAGGCTCGCAAGCTCTTTGCAGGCATTCGTGATCCTCGGACCCGTCTGGCGCCACGAGCACACGGCACCGCGTTCAGCCGACCGATGGGACCCGAACCGCAGGGGGCCACAACTACATTGGCAGAGTGCCGCGCGAACGCGGAAAAAGAAATGTGAGAAAGTGCCGGGACAGATCGCGCCCTTCAGCGCCTGTCGCGCGCCTCGCGGGCTGCGTGCAGCTTGGCGCCCAAGACGGCGCGAGCCCCAGCCATCAGCCCATTGTACCTGGCCCACAGCACTACGAGCTCCGCCCGCTCCGAAGGGAACTGCTGCTGCTCCTCGGGCTGCTCGGAGTCGCACTGCTGGTTGACGTCGGATTGCTGCTCGGAGACCGCCTTGGTGTATTCGCGCATCGGCGTCTCGGCGAGAGCGGGCTCCGATGCAACCATGTCCTTTGCCTCCGACTCCTGTTCCTGGCCCCACAGGGAGTCCGCCCTGAACGTACACTCCTCCTCGACGTGTACCTCCCTCTTGGGGCCCGCAGAGCCGATCCCAACCTTCTCCTGGATGTCCTGCTGTGCAACGACTGGCTGCATGCGCTCGTGGTGCTTGACAGCGTACTCCGACGGGTCGCTACCAAGAGGCTCATAATTTTCAGCCTTATCATCATGATGCTCATCACCGTCCTCATCGGGTGGGCTTCTCTCAGGCTCCTCCTGCTCGGGCACTGCGAGGAAGCCATTGCCTTTCGCCTGTGCGACGGGCTGCCGTGCGTTGACGTGCTGTTGGGGCCAGTCGTGCAGGTCGTACTCGTTCGCATCGGCCGAGTCCCTCTCGCACTCGACCTCCTTCACCACCGTGGTCGGCGGGCAGGCGCTGGGAGCTTTCGGGCCGCCTTCCCGCCCGAGCTCCTCGAGCCTCCACTGCCACCACTGCGCGCCAGAGGCGAGGGGCGGAGGAACCGCCTCAGGCGCCGCCCGCACACGATCAGAGAAGACGAAGCCAGCGCCGCGGGTCTCGGCTCTCCCTCGCCTCGCGGCCGTTTTCCATGTTGTGCACGTGGCGGGCTCGGCTGCCTCGCCGGTACGGCGGCCGACGCCGTCGGTCCTTCTCGCGTGGGCCGACGGCCGCGCCTCCGCCGCCGCCTGACCGATGCTGGCTTAACGCTTGGCGCCGTACCAACGCAGCGCCCAGGCTCACGTCCGTGCACTCCTCGTCCTCGCCCTCGTCCTGCACATCGCTCGGCTCGTCGTGCTGGGTGCCGAGGGGCGCCTGCACCTCGCCCGAGCCGAGACCGTTCTCGCCCCCGAGCTTGGGCTTGGACTCGAATCTGACCCCATCAGGCCCGCGATCGCCGTCGTAGCCTTCGAGCTCGTCGTCGCCGACGCCGTACTTGATTTCGTACTGGTTGTGCAGCTGCGCGTGCTGTTGCTCATCCACGTGATGCTGATGCCCGTCATCGTCGTTCTTCGCATCGCCGTTGTAGCCGCACTCGTCCATGGGCGGCGCCATGCTGCGGCGCCTCGCCTCCAGGCTGGGTCGCCATCCCTCCTCAGGGAGAGGACGGCTGAGAGCCCCCAGATCCGTTGGGGCGAGGGCGCCAGACCGCCCGCGGCGCTGGCTGGCCTGCGGCCGCTCGAGCGTGGCCTCGAGGACCTCGGCGCCTTCACCGAGGAAGGCGCGGGCCCCGAGGTTCCGAGTCGCCCGCTCGGCGCCCGAAGCCCTCTCGCCGCGGACCAGGCGCGCCAGGGCTGGCCGGATGGCCCGAAGCCGCAGGGCAAGCTCGGCGTCCTCATCGCCAGCTCCATCTGCAGCCCAGCCCCCGATCAGCTCAGCACCGACGCGTGCCGCGGCGGCCACGGCGGCCGCGATGCCGTGCCTCGCAGCGCCTCCCGCTGCCGCGCCTTCGGCTGCCGCTCGAACCAGCGGCGCCAGGGCGGCAGCAGCGTCCTGCGCTGCGACTGCCATGAATGCCCGACCAGCGCGAGGCTCGAACGGGCCAACTGAGGAGGAAATTGCCCGAACAGCGCGAAGCTCGAACTGGGAAACCACTGCCACTCCAGCGTGGCTCCTGAGCCAAAATGGTTACGGATGATGATGATGATGATGATGATGATGCTGATGATGCTGATGATGCTGATGATGATGATGATATGATAAATGATGATGATGATGATGATGATGATGATGATGATGATGATGCTGATGCTGATGCTGATGCTGATGCTGATGCTGATGCTGATGCTGCTGCTGCTGCTGCTGATGCTGATGCTGATGCTGATGCTGATGCTGATGCTGATGCTGATGCTGATCATGATGATGACGATGACGATGACGATGACGATGACGATGATGATGATGATGATGATGATGATGATGGTCATGATGATGATGATGCTGACGATGATGATGATGCTGGCGATGATGATGATGATGCTGATGCTGGTGCTGGTGATGTTGCGGATGCTGGATTGCGACGATGATGATGCTGATGATGATGATGATGCTGATGCTGATGATGATGGTGATATCGATGATGACGATGCTGAAGACGGTGATGATGCTGATGATGATGATTATCATGCTGATGATAGTGCTGTTGCGGATGCTGGTCTGCGACGATGATGATGATGCTGTTGCTGCTGATGATGATGATGATGATGATGACGATTGTGATGATGATGACGATGCTGATGACGACGATGATGATGATGATGCCGATGATGATGATGCTGATGTTGATGATGATGACGTTTATGATGCTGCCGCTTCTGATGATGCTGACGCTCTGATGCTCATGATGGCGATGCTGCTTGTGATGTTGATGGTGGTGACGATGATCGCGATGATGATGATGGCGATGATGATCATGCTGATCATGATGATGATGGTGATGATGGTGATGGTGATGTTGATGGTGATGATTATGGTTATGATGATGGGTCATGATGACGATGATGATGATGGTGATGATGATGATGATGATGGTGATGGTGATGATGATGATGATGGTCATGATGATGATGATGCTGACGATGATGATGATGCTGGCGATGATGATGATGATGATGATGATGATGATGATGATGATGCTGATGATGATGATGATGATGATGCTGATGATGATGATGATGCTGGTGCTGGTGATGTTGCGGATGCTGGATTGCGACGATGTTGATGATGATGATGATGCTGATGATGATGGTGATATCGATGATGACGATGCTGAAGACGGTGATGATGCTGATGATGATGATTATCATGCTGATGATAGTGCTGTTGCGGATGCTGGTCTGCGACGATGATGATGATGCTGTTGCTGCTGATGATGATGATGATGACGATTGTGATGATGATGACGATGCTGATGACGATGCTGATGACGACGATGATGATGATGATGATGATGATGATGATGCCGATGATGATGATGATGCTGATGTTGATGATGATGACGTTTATGATGCTGCCGCTTCTGATGATGCTGATGCTCTGATGCTCATGATGGCGATGCTGCTTGTGATGTTGATGGTGGTGACGATGATCGCGATGATGATGATGATGGCGATGATGATCATGCTGATCATGATGATGATGATGGTGATGATGGTGATGGTGATGTTGATGGTGATGATTATGGTTATGATGATGGGTCATGATGACGATGATGATGATGATGGTGATGATGATGATGATGATGATGATGATGATGATGATGATGATGATGATGGTGATGGTGATGGCGATGCTTATGCTGATTGATGGTGGTGATGATGTTGTCATGCCATGGTGGTGATGATGGTGATGACTAGGAGAAGGAGGAGGAGGAAGAGAAGGAGGAGGAGGAGAAGGAGGACTGGGAAGAGGCGGAGGAGGCGGAGGAGCAAGGGGACACGTTCGCCGATTCGGTCGGGCCTTCTCTTGAGGGTACGGCTCTGTCTGTGCACATCTATACATGCACGCGTATTTACGTACACAGCTACGCATATAGTTTGTATCATGCACCTGTGTAAGTTGACCTTGCATGCATGTGCATTCATTGATATTATACTCGCACGGCTGTGATTGGAGTTAATAATAGTGTACTCGTGTCTTGCTACGTGTCTCCCGTATTCTCTGTGTTGGCATGTGAGGTCATTACCCTCGCACTACCCGCCTAACTCCTCGCTCGGCCTCCTCCTAACCCCCTTCCCTCTTTCTTCCCCCAGGATGATGAGCAGTGACAAACGGCACGTGCGCATTCGGACGCCACACATCATCGTCTCGGTGTCGTAAGAACGATGGAAGGTGAAGGGGGAATAGGACGATTAGGATTACAATGATGAGGAGGAGCAGGAGCAGGAGCAGGAGGAGGAGGAGGAGGAGGAGGACGACGACGAGGAGGACGAGGAGGAGGACGAGGAACAGCAGCAGCAGCAGCAGGAGGAGGAGGAGGAGGAACAGCATGATGAGCAGCAGCGCAGGCGACACGCTGCACGACGCAGACAGGCGCGTCTGCTGCCGCGGAGGGGGTTGGTGTGGCACGGGGCGGCCCCGCTGCGCGCGAGCGGGCGGTCGTGGCTGGGCAGGGGCGGACGGATTTTGAGTGCAGCTGCTCGGCGGCGCGCCGAGGGAAGTTCGATGTTTTCTGATGCTCTCGTAGGTTTGGGGAGGCTCTCCAGCCTCGGGGTGCTTTCCAGCAGCTGCGCCTCGCTGAGGGCGTTCAGGAGTTCCTGGATCGTCCCGAGCGGCCGCAGGAGGCTCGGGTTATTACCGAAAACCAAACTCGACACCTTGCCGAGAGGGGGAGGTGAGAGAGGGCATGCCTTCTTAGAAGGCGGCGGGGCGAAGAGCTTCTCGGCCCTCCAGCCCCCTGTCAGACTTCTGGCTTCGGGGGAAGATTTAGGCAGATTCGCAGAAGGCCGGAGGCCTTTTGAGCCTTCTGAGAAGTTCCGCCCAACGTGCCTCCCCTCGGCGCGCCGCCGAGCTACGGTACGTCCGTGTCGTGTCGACGCGGCGCCGACCCCAGCGCGGGTGCTCTTGGTTGAACGCCGCCAGCGGCCTGGAGCTAGCCGGCACCGGACGATCTGCGTCACCAGGAAGTTACCATCACTGAAGATTGGGCGATATTGGGAGGCCACATGCGAGCCCTACCCCACCACCCCACGATATCTAAGTGAACCCCACGAGACCTCCGCACCTTGGGCGACCATCGGGGCTCCGCAGGCCGCCGTCATCTTCCGCTTTCGGACGCTGTATCCCTGATGCGCGAGACGAGCTTCGACGATTGGGCCATGCCTGGGCCGCGAGTTGCTAAGGAGTGGCTCGTTTCAGTTCGGGATGGCCCTGGAGATCTTTCTTCTTATCACGGACAGTGGGTTCGCCGTTCGGGAGTCAGCGAGTCCTCGGCGGTGGCCCACATTCATTATGTGCTGTGCGAGTCGGTTCGGTTGGCCATTCAGACAGACCAGCTCGATGTGACAAACTTGTTGAGCTTCGAACTCATCATGCGCAGGATCTGCCAGGACGAGACCGCAGTGGCTCGCAACCCTCGCCATCCTGACGACGGTGGGCTGGAGATGTTGCTTCGCGCTCCGACCACCGAACAGGGCCAGGCGAGCACGAACAGGTTCACGGAGTGGGTCACGGGCCGTCTCAAGGAGCAGGCCGCGATCTACAAGCAGACTCGGTTGTGGAACGAGGAGCAGCGGGCCATGCAGAACTCTCGTGCCCCCGCAGACTCAGGCCGAGGACGAGGCCGTGGTCGCGGGCGCGGCAGAGGCGAGAAGGGGAGCAAGGGCGAGGAGGAGGCCCCGGGGTGACCGCGGCCTTCCGGGCCGAGTCTGATCCCCGAGCTCGGCCCGACGCTTCTGCTACAGATCGGGGACATGCTACCCGGTGGAGGCCCTCAAGACGGAGGCGCGGGGGCCCTTTCCCTCTGCCGCATTTTTTTGCCCTCTCAGCTCGACAGCTCGGGCTTGGGCTTCGAGCAGCGACAGCGAGCGCTCTCGGCGCGGGCTTCGCTCAATTATCTCGCTGCTGCTCAACCAAATTCAGATAGTGTTTACCAGGCTCGCCAGTCATCTCGGGCCCCGAGTGCCGTTCAGGAATGGATCTTGGACAGCATCACGGAGCGCGCTGCCGCTGTGGCCCCCCCCCCCCCGCCTGGCCTGACGGCCGAGGGGGCCGCTCGCGAGTTGCTGGCTTCTAAGGGCCTGTACTGCCAGGAGCCGAAGAACCTCGCGCCGTTCGATCTGACAAAGCTCAAGGTCGCAAAGGGGCGCGCTCGACCTCGCTCTGTGGCTAACTTCTTGCCGCCTTTGCCTGCGGACATGATCCGCAACCCTGCGCTGTACATCGAGAAGGATGAGGGGGAGATGGAGTTCATGCGCCAGCACACCGATCCTATTCGTCCTTACTGGGATCCCGTGCTTCGCTCGAGTCGGACAGAGCGTTGGCGACTCTTCAGGGTGCTGTATGAGCTGGGGCTGATAACTTTCAGGCGTTGACTCCGAGCTCGTGCTGCCCTTTTCTTTGTGAAGAAAAAGAAACCAGGTGAGATTAGAATGATTGTGGATGCTAGACAGGCCAATTCGTGTCATCGTGCCCCTCCGATTCCAAGACTCGGTTCAGCTGGGGCCCTGGCGGACCTCGACCTTCTCCGTGGGTGGCGAGTCCGTCGACGGCGTCGGCAGTGTGATAGGCTGGGACCCCCACGGGAACGAGGCCGATGTCGAGGACTGCTTCTACAACTTCGCCATCGATGGCCTGGCGGAGTGGTTCGGTTTCGACGACCCGCTGCCCGCCGCCGAGATCAGGGACGCGTACGGCATCAATGTCGGAGCGTTCTGGGACCCCGAGCTGAGCATGATGGTCTCCGTGGAAGACGACATGGTCTTGTACCCGTGCATGCGCGCCATGTGCATGGGGTGGTCCTGGGCTCTGTACTTTGCGCAGGAGGCCGTATCCGCTATGACAGAACGGGCGCTGCGCTCGTCGTCTCTACCGACGCCCGCCATGGTGAAGGAGCACCATCCCGCCCCCGACTTGAATGAGTCCAAGGTCATGGGCAGCGTCTACGTGGACAACATCACTGTCTTCGGCAGGGACGCCTCTCTGGCTCGTGAGGCAAGCTCCGCCCTGCAGGCTGAAGCTGACCGATCTGGTTTGCCTATCGCGTGGTCCTATCCTGATGTGGTGACCCACCTCGAGACCGCGGGCGTTGAGATCGACCTCAAGAGGGGGAGGCTTCGCAACAAGGCCTCCCGAGTGTGGCGCTTTGACTTGGCCACCCGCGCTCCCCTGCGTCGTGGCAAGATGCGAGGGGAGCACATGGAGGTCTGGCTGGGCCACGCTGTATCGCTGCTGATGCTGGCCAGGCCTGGGTGCGCCGCGCTCTCAGCCACGCACCGGTTCGCCGAGGCCGCCTGGGGTGTTCGGACCCCTTTGCCGCGCGAGGTCATGCGCGAGATGAGGTTGGTCGCTGGGCTGGTCTGGCTCGCTGAGGTCGACCTGGCTGCGCCCTACGCGCCGCGCGTCTATGCCAGCGACTCCACCGACAACGGGTACGGCCTGATGTACAAGAGGGCCTCGGTCGAGGAGATGCAGTCGGCCTTCCGCTGGAAGGAGAAGTGGAGCTTCAGGCAGCACCTGCGAGGCCCCCGCGTTGGTCTGACTTCGGCCGCTGATGTCGCTGAGATGGGCGGCTACAAGGAGGCAGACGAGGCGCAGCTGGATCACGAGGTGGAGCCTCGTTGCCGCTCCGCCGAGCCGAACGCTGGCTCCGCCCCTGCCGCGGCCTTCGGCCAGTGGCTGCAGAGCAAGGCGGAGGAGGGCTCTGCCTCTGACAGACCTCACCGGCCTCGCCCTCGCCGTCTGCGGCGGCGCCCAGCCGACCCTCAGGATCCCGACGCCGAGCGCCTCGGTCAGGTGGGCCCCTCGGCGCCGCCGCTGCCCGCCTCCTGGTTCGACTCGGAGGGCTTCGAGCTGGTAGCGGCGAGGCGCTGGCGCTGGCCTGGAGAGCACATCAATGTGAAGGAGACCCGCGCTGCTGTGATGGGGCTGCGGCATGCCTGTCGCGTTCGCCAGAATTGCGGACGCCGCCTAGTTTCTCTCGTGGACTCCATGGCATGCGTTGGCCGCCTGGACAAAGGGCGGTCCAGCCGCTCAGCAGCTTTGAGCGCGCAGTGCCGGCGAGCTGCGGCCTACGCAATCGGTTGTAGAGTGCGTTTGAGGTTGCGGTATGTCAACGCGAAGTTTAACGTGGCCGACGCTCCATCTCGTCGGTTCGAGCACAACTCCCCCGACAAAGGATGCAACAGACAGAGTTCGACAGACATGACATCATCTTCTCCCTCTCACTTCCCTTTGAACGCTGTAGTCCAGACGGGCAGCCTGCCCCCTGGGCTCGGTCTCGCAGGGCACCCGCCCGCCGCGGCCGAGAGCGACAAGCATCTGGGTTTGCAGTCTCCCGAGGAAATCGAAGCTTCTCTGCGTCGAGCGTCCTGTCCGTCCTCTACTCCAGCACCTTCGGTGACCAGTCGGACCGCCTGTCCCCCTCTACGTCTTGGGCACGCTCAGCTTCGGAGACGGGCCCAGCAGGGCCAGGGTTTCTTGGAGCTGTTCTCGGGCGAGGGTGGGCTCTCCAAGGCGTTCGAGGAGCTCGGCCTGCCAACCTACCCCTGCATGGACATTAAAGATGGGGCTCACCATGACCTCCTGGGCCCGCAGGTCCAGAACATCATCTTAGAGGACATCCGAAAGGGGCGCTTCTGGCATGTACATCTTGGGACGCCTTGTTGCGCGTGGTCTCGGGCTCGCCACGGCGTCGCCAAAAATGAGAAAGCCGCGTTCAAGGAGCGCGTGGGTGTAGCTCTCGCCATGTTCAGCTGCCGCGTTGCTTATGAGTGTTCGCGGAACGGCGTCTTCTGGAGAATTGAGAATCCGAGATCTTCCAGACTTTGGGGCTTCGACCCTGTTCGAGAGCTCACTGACCTTCCTGACGTTGTTCGCGTGTGTTTGGTACACTGTAGTTACGGGGCCTCACACATGAAGCCGACAGCGATTCTCACTAACCTTTCAGCCTTGAGTTCCTTGGCTTCGGTGTGCTCCAGAGATCATTCACATGTTGAGCTCAGGGGTTTCGAGACCGTGACGTTGCCATCTGGGGCTCGTGTTTCTCGCAATCGTACGGCAGGCGCTGGAGCCTACCCCCGCAGTCTTTGCCAGGCACGGGCCCTGGCCGCGGGCATGTCAGCGCCCGCGGGGGCCCGGGGCGGCTCAGGCGCACCTGGCGGCGGGGGCCTGGAGGCCCGGCTTCGCGATGCTGCGCGACGGCCGGCTTCGCGCGCCCGCGAGCGCCTCCGACCAGCTCGGCAGCGGCTTCAAGCGGAGCCTGACCTCGGGCTCGCTGGCGCCGCCGACTCAGGCGATCTCGAGAGCAGGTTTGACCACCTGCGGCCTTTCATCGTCTTCGGTCAGGACTCCAACCTCGAGGCAGCAAGGAAACAGGCAGCCCGCTCGAGGAAAGGCCCGAAAGGTCGCTGGCCGCCGCTCCCGCGCCTCTAGTTTCGTGGAGGCAATCAAGGGCCGCAACCTGAGCTTCGGGCCGAAGGCGCCAGTCCCTGTGGATGGAGGTGTCGCCCGTTTTGGCTCAATCACCTCGACGTCGCTCGAGCGATATGGGACCGCAGTTCGCGAGTTATTCGACTGGGCGACGCGCCCAAATGACCTCAGACACGCTCCAGAGTCCGTTATCGATCAGAAAATGTGCAAGTACTTCGATGTTCTCATGAGTGACGCTCGGCATGCCGCTGAAAGACGGGACACACTCTGGGGGTATCTGACTTTCTTCCCGCGGTCGGACATCGTCAAGTCCGCCCAGCTCGCGATGGCTCGTGAGGCGATGAAGGGCTGGGTCCGCAGGTTCCCTGGCTCCTCGCGACATCCGTGGCCGCTCTCGGTTTTCTACTTGTTCATGAGTGTCTTTCTGAAGGACAGTCACACCGAGGCTGCCGTCGCCCTGGCCATCCAACTCGATGCCTACCTGAGACCTTCAGAGATACGCGAACTGCGGCGGTGCTCCGTGGTCCAGCCTTCGAAGCTCTCATCTTCATTGTCAAAAAAACAAGTGGGTTGTTGTCATTGGTAACTCAGACCTCGGTGAGACCACGAAGACTGGCGAGAGTGATGACACTGTGGTTCTCGATTCTATCGGCCGCGAGTGGGTAGGTCCCGTGCTTGAGATGTGGGCTAGGCGCCGTAAGTCTGACGCCTGTTCTGATCAGCTAGTCTTCCCGCACCTGTCTCTAGCCAAGTATGAAGCACTTTTTAGGAAATACAGTCGCTCTGTTCTCGGCAAGGTAGGGCACCTCACTCCCCACGTGGCCCGTCATTCAGCGCCTAGTCACGACGCGCTGGTGCGCGCTCGCAGTCTAGCAGTTGTTCAGAAGCGCGGGCGCTGGGCCCACGCCAAGTCCGTGAAACGATACGAGAAGAGCGGCCGCCTTCTTCTCCAGGCCGCCCGTCTTCCTTCCGAGCTCGCGAGGCGAGCCACTGCTGCGGGGGCCTCCATCTCTCAGTGCTTTCAGGAGGCCCTCCAGTAATAGATCGCGGTATGGGCTGTGATTGCCAAAGCCTTTGTTGAATCCTCAGGTGCACTCGCGGGCCGAGCATCCCTTCGGAAGGAACCTCTTCGCTCTGCTCGCCTGGCGCACGTCAAAAAGAGAAGGTTCAAAGAGATCCCCCAGCGAAGGATCTAACCAGCCCTCTGAAGTGGGTCTCTGGGCCGCTGGAGAAGGGTCAGAAATGTTTTTAATTTTTGATTGATATATCTCTCGCTTCTTCGAGGCCCGCCTCTGTCAGCTTGCCTGTCTGTAACTATTTCGCTCAAGTCTCCCTCCTCTCCCTCCCTGAGCTTGTTCTGGGCTGTGATTGCCAAAGCCTTTGTTGAATCCTCAGGTGTACTCGCGGACCGAGTATCCCTTCGGAAGGAACCTTTTCGCTCTGCTCGCCTGGCGCACGTCAAAAAGAGAAGGTTCAAAGAGATCCCCCAGCGAAGGATCTAACCAGCCCTCCGAAGTGGGTCTCTGGGCCGCTGGAGAAGGGTCAGAGATGAATTTACGTGCCCGGGACCTGCGCGCGCGAGAACAAACAGGGGTTGAGGGGCGGTGTGCCCGGACGCGTGGAAGTCCACCTGCGTTATCCGGCAAATGTGGCTCTCGCACAGCAGGCTTGGCCAATCCGCGCGCCGTGCCCCCTGATTGCGTTCCGTGACATAAACCAGATGGATGCCCCCGCGCATGTGGATATTGTAGGCCGCGCGCATAGTGTCGGCCAGTTCCACGGCGGGGGCAGCCGGGCGAAACGAGAAGCGCAACTTCGGAGTGAGGATGAAGTGATCACGGTGGAGTTCCTCGGGGACAACGCCAATGCCAGCTTCGAGAAAGGGGGCGTCGTTGCTTTGAGAGGAGCCAAGTTGGGCGAATACAAAGGGAAGTGCACCATAACAACGGCGTTTCTCACCGTCGCCGAGGTAAACGCAACGTCGAACCCGGACATTCGGACGCCGCCTGAGGTGCCGAGCGGCAGCTCAGCGAAGAAGGCGCTCCACATGACAACGGGGCCGGCCACGCGCGTGATATGACGCGCCAGATGGAGGCCCGCGCAGCTGGCCAATCCATGGCCGACGACGATGAGCATCGGTTCAGCATCGCGGCGCGGGTGAAAGCGTTCGATGAGTCCATCTTCCAGGAAAGGCCGCCCTTCCACGGCCCGCCAGGAGCCCTCCGCACGCGTCTGAAGTCCAAGATTGAGAGACATATTGACGAGATGCCCAATGTCAATTTCTGGGCGGACGCTGCCCGCGAGCTGACGCACTTGGACGGGAAAACGGCAAGCGGATTATGGGAGCAATGCGAAACCACAGAGGGGCAGACAGCATTCTTGACAGCTGCCAACGCACATACAGGCAAGACGCACACATTCAACTGCACCCTCAAGCTGTGGCGCAAGCACGGCGCGGGGGACGGGGCTGAAGCGCAGGTCAACGTGAACGACGCTGAGATAGTCGTCGAATGAGGCTCGCAATACATTTGGTACAATATGTGTTACCAGGGTCGTCTGACTCATCATGTTATGTATATCCCTCTCCCGCATTAGCGACTCAGGCTTGTCCTTCGTTGCGCGCGGCAACACAGGCTTGTCCTTCGTTGCAGGCGCGATTTAGCTTGACTTGCGTGTCCCACGAGGCGCGCATGAGCTCATTGTCGCCGCAACCCAGTGCGGGACTATGCGCAACGCCAGTTTCCCGAGAGTTGCCGTGACTTCTCCTTCCCATGTCATCGCCATGGCCATCGCGTCGTAGTTTGCGCATGACAACGCCGCATCAGTGGGATCACTTTGCGCGCGCAACGAATGAGTTGGCGATGCCACCGTACAATTGAATTTGCATTGGTTGCTGAGAATCTCCCACAACACACTGAGGACACGTCACATTGAGGATCACAGCGCCCGAATAGGCTAGAATACGACACATATTTCACATGCTATACATGCCACTCCCCGACGGTACGCGTTTCAGAATGTGTTGAACATTTCCCCAGAGACTCGCCACATTTTTGCACGAGGGGCAAGGGCCGGAGTTCTCGCGGGTGCTTGGTGGCGTCTTTTCCGAGGGGGGGCGGGAGCAGGGGCGAACAAACAGGGGGAGGAAGGGGAAGAAGAAGAGGAGGAGGAGGAGGAAGAGGAGGAGGAAGAGGAAGAGCAGGAGGAGGAGGAAGAGGAGGAGGAGGAGGGGGAGGAGGAAAATGAGGTGGAGGAGGAGGGAGGAGGGCGAGGAGGAAGAGAGGAGGAGGAGGAGGAGGACAACGAGGGCGGGGTCGAGGAGCAGGATGAACAAAGGAGAAAGAAGAGGGGCAGGAATGCGGCACGAGGAGGATGAAGAGGAGGGGGATGAGGCAGGAAGAGGGGCAGGAAGAAGCGGACGATGAGGAGTGTGGCAAGTTAGGCTTTGGGGATCTGTTGTGGTGGGGGGCCCCTCGAGGATTCGTAATGCCGTCGTGGCGCCATCTTGGGGCTTCCCTCGGGGTCCTCTCAGGGCCTTCTTGGGGGCCTCTTGGGGCTCTTTTGGGGCGTCTTGGGGGCCTCTTGGGGCTCTTTGGGGAAGTCAGAGAGGCCTCTTGGGGCCGTCTTGGAGGCCACGGCTGCAAAAAGAGGGCGGCGTTCATTCCTGTCCCCCCCTCCCGGGGGCTCGCTGTTGGTGTTGCTGGTGCTGCTGCTGGTGCCGTTTTTTTTATGTTTGTTTCTTTTTCTGTTGGTGGTGGTGCTGCTGCTGTTGCTGCTGCTGGTGTTGCTGGTTTTCCATGCTGCCCATCTGTGGCGACGAGGAGGTCCCCCCCCCCCGAAAGCTCACCTCGAGGCTCGAGGTTTCAACCTCGGCGCCCCCCCGAGTATGTTGGAGGAAACACGCTGTGAGGGTGACGAATTCACAGGCCCCCTCGGAGCGGTCGCAATAGGCAAACAGCATAATACTGGTATTTTTGACGCATCGCGTAGTCACACCAGCCCATCCAGAAACGATGCCCAGAAGAGCTGACGGGAGAAGGGAGGAAGAGACGCACATAGTGAAAGACCCTGGGCAACAACGGTGAATTGGGAGATCTCTGGTAGCGAATGGTACGGGTGCTGCTGCTGGCGTGGTTGCTTCTGCTGGTACTGCTGTTTTGCTGGTGGCGCTTCTGCTGCTGGTGTTGCTGCTGGTGGTGTTGTTCAGTCTCGCGCTGTTGGTGTTGCTGCTGGTGCCGATGTTTCTGTTGTTGGTGGTGGTGTTGCTGCTGGTGCTGCTGCTGGTGTTGCTGGTTTTCCGTGCAGCCCGGCTGTAGCGACGAGGAGGCCCCCCCGCAGGTTAACTTTGAAGCTCGTGGTTAGAACCTCGACGCCCTCCCGAGTATGTCGGAGGAAACACGCTGTGAGGGTGACGAATTGACAGGCCCCCCCGGAGCGCTCGCAGTAGGCAAGCAACATAATACTGGTGTTTTTAACGTTTCGCGTAGTCACACCAGCCCATCCAGAAACGATGCCCAGGAGAGATCACGGGAGAAGGGAGGAAGATACGCACATAGTGTAACATCGTGGGCAACAACGGTGAATTGGGAGATATCTGGTAGCGAATGGTACGGGTACTGCTGCTGGTGCTGTTGGTTCTGCTGATACTGCTGGTGGTGATGGTGGCGGTGCTGCTGCTGGTGTTGCTTCTGGTGGTGTTGCTGAGTGTCGCGCTGTTGGTGCTGCTGCAGGTGCCGCTGCTGGTGCCGGTGTCTCTGTTGGTGGTCGTGGTGTTTCTCCTGGTGTTGCTGGTTTTCCCTGCTGCCCGGCTGTGACGCCGAGGAACCCCCCCCGAAGGCTAACCTCGAAGCTCGAGGTTTCAACCTCGGCGCCCCCCCGAGTATGTTGGAGGAAACACGCTGTGAGGGTGACGAATTGACAGGCCCCCCCGGAGCGGTCGCAATAGGCAAGCAACATAATACTGGTAGTCTTGACGCATCGCGTAGTCACACCAGCCCATCCAGAAACGATGCCCAGAAGAGCTGACGGGAGAAGGGAGGAAGACACGCACACAGTGAAAGACCCTGGGCAACAACGGTGAATTGGGAGATCTCTGGTAGCGAATGGTACGGGTGCTGCTGTTGGTGTGGTTGATTCTTCAGGCTTACGCCACATCCGCCGACCCCTTATGAAGAATCTTGCAGGGGTCTGGTCGCCTCTTTGGGTGGTCTGAGGCCCCTGGGCCATTCTGGGGGCATTCTTGGGTTGTCTTGGGGCCCCTTAGGCCGTCCTGTGGCAGTATTGGGCTGTCTTGGGGCTCTCTTGGGCTGTCATCGGCTTCTCTTGGGCTGTCATGGGGCGCTCTGGGCGTTCTTTTCGGCCGTCTTGGCCGTCGCCATCTGTTGCCGAGGACTGTGGTATGCCCTTGGTGACCTCAGAACTGCTTTGCGGTGTCTTTTGGAACCGTCAGGGGCGGCCGTGGGGTGACCTTCAATCGTTTCAGGCCATTGTGAAGCTATCTTGGCCCTTCCTGACCTTAAGCGGAACCGTCTCGGCGTCCTCAGAGGCTGTTTTGGCGCGCCATGAACCTCTCGGGAGCCGTCCTGGAGCTCTCGCGGGTCGTCCCGTCGCCTGGTGGACCCTCTTGGCGCGACCTGGAGGCGATCTGGGGGATTTCGGGGTCAGGTGGATCTGGTGGGGCCTTCGGCCAGGGCCCGAGGGCGGGAAATCACGGACGCGAGGCATCTGACAGGGAACCAAACCAAGCACTATTATCAGACGGGCGCAGGCCATAGGCCAGTGACATGTCGCGACTGCGACGCGCATCACAAACGCTCGCGGGTGTTCAGGTGTTCCGCGTGCCCGACAGAAGCAGATGGAAGAGGCCGGGAGTTCACGGACAGGACGCATTTGACAGATAAGCAAGTGGAGCACTTTCTCGCGAAGGGTTCGGACCATCGCCCAGTCATGTGCCGCGCGTGCCAGGAAGAACGCAATCAGTCGCGAGTGCTCACGTGCTCCGCGTGCCCGAAAGAAGCAGATGGGAAAGAACGAGAATTCA